CAGAAGCACAACAGCTCACATTTTCAACTTACAGGAACGCTAATACCCCCAAGGCATTGGTGGGTGTTACCCCAAGTGGCATATTTTAGACTTTATTCCAACAACTCTATGCAAGAATGGCCTTATTGACATGATTTTCTTTGTGTGTGCAATGCTCACTAACTTTTTGCCACCTCTTGTAAAGTAAACGTCTGCCTTGAGATAGTTTTTCCTCTATTATATCTAGTGCCCTAGGGTTTGGCTCAGGCCTCTAGGCCCTTGGTGAGGTATCGTATTAGAAGGGGGCTTTGTAGAGTAAAGAGGCTTACAAGCAAAGTTGCATTGCATGTTTCATAAATAAATTCTTGTAATTAGCATATTTACTTGAAAAAGTACCTTCCTTGATTAAGATGCGACAAATGAGCTCTGCCTTCAAATGCATGTAGTAGTAAAATACAGAATAACTGCGTTGAACATATGGGACAAGGCTACATGCTACGTCAATTTTTTCAATCACATAAGATCGTCTTTTTGTTAGCATTAACCTAAGCTACCAGTTCCAGTAGGGAAGGGGTGGGGCAACCGAAATGGCTGACTCAGACTTGTGCGCCGTACGAAACAAGACCACGTGGCAGCCGCTGACTCTCGGTTGTGCCTAAATCCTACCCGCTCAGAAGGACAACCGAGGAGTACTAGAAGCGAGTTTCCGAGTCAAGCTGTTTCCGGAAATTGTCGGCTATTCCAATATGTATATTAGGTAATTGGACATAAATCCATGCACAGTATTATTTGTAGAATAGCTTGATACATTGTTCTTTAGTTTTATACTACACTAGGATCACTCTACAGTAATATTTTCAGTTTTCTGTGATCTTGTCCCTCTGGCCGGTAGGATCTCGACAATACTACCAGCCAGAGGGACAGCTTGTGTATAAGGTCATTGGACTCAAGTCCATCATCATCATCATTTCTCTTCGCGCCCGTAAGCGCATAAGGCCGTCACGCTTTCCGACCAACACCCCCTGTTCCGTGCTACCGCTTTGGCTTCTTCCCAGCTCTTCCACCCCGCCTTGTTTCTTTCCTTCTCCACCGTCCTTCTCCAAGTTGTCTTTGGCCTCCCTCTCGCTCTTCGACCTTCTGGTGTCCATCCTAATGCTGTGAAGCAGTCGTTCGCACCCTCTCTCCTGAGTATGTGTCCCAACCAGTTCCACCTTCTTCGTCGTACCTCGAAGCTTAAGTCATTGACCTCTGCATACATACATACATAAATGCATTTTATTTGTTATTAAAATTAAAATTACAATTATAACATGCCCGCGGATAGCTGAGCTAATCTAGGCGGGTCATGTTTGTAATTCTTTGCTGCCATCTAATTCTCAGTATCCGTCTCAGGCACTGGCATTGAAAACTGTTCAGTTTTCGTTCATCAGCTTTAATGATCTTCCATGTTTCACAGCCATATAACAGGACCGGTCGAACTAAAGTCTTGAATAGGCGTATCTTGGTTCTCCTTCCTATTCCTCTGGTTGCCCATACCTTCCCTAGTCTCTGAAATGCTCTACGTGCCTTCTGCAGTCGGTTCGTAATATCTCTACTGCCTCCTCCTTCTTTGTTTACTGTAGTACCTAGGTATACAAATTCCTCAACGTCTTCTACTTCCTCGCCATTAACCACGACGTCCTCTTAACTATGAGCAAACTCAGTCCTCAGTGTTTTACACTTTCTAACTTGCATTAAGTTTGAGGCCTACTCTGGCTGCTTCTTCTGCTAGTCTCCCAGTCTTTTCCTGCAGGTCGCTAATCTTGGATGACAGTAGTGCAACATCGTCCGCAAAGTCAAGATCCTCCAGCACCGTTGTGAAATTCCACCGTATTCCTCTTCTCTTGTCTGCTGTTGCCTCACACACCCCTGCCTTACTCCAGACTTGATCTTAAACCATTCCGATGTCTCACTTCCATCAACAACTGCACACTCAAAGCCCTGGTATATGCCTGAGATCACTCTCACCATCTTATTTGCTATCCCATAGCTTTTCATGATGTTCCATAGGCTTTCTCTGTGTACCGAATCAAACGCTTTTTCAAAATCCACAAAGTGCACATACAGACCCGCCCTCCAGCCATTTGTTTGCTCCAAGATGTTTCTTAGTATAAAGATCTGTTCAGTTGTACTTCTCTTTGATCTAAACCCAGCCTGCTCCTTTCGAAGCTTCTTGTCTGCACCTCTCTTGATCCTCTCTAGCAGCATCCTACAGAATATCTTACTAATTACGGGTAGTAAAGTCATTCCTCTCCAGTTGTTACAATCCCGCAAATCTTTCTTAAATATCTTGACAATCAGTCCCTTCTTCCACATTTCCGGTTATGCTGTATAGTTCCTTATTTCTACCATTCTCAGCGGCCTTTTCTGCTGCTGCAGTCCTCTTCTCTATCCAATTCCTCTTATCCTCCCTAGCACTCCTTTTCACTTCCTTGTCTTTTGCATCATATTCCTCTCTCCTTCTCTGTTTTAGTCGTTCCGATCTAGCACCCTCCATATTCAATTTTGCCTCTTTCCTCTCCTTGATCTTTTCCCAAGTTTTGTCACCTATCCACGGTTTGCTCTGCTTTTTAGACCTCCCGATAACTTTCTTTACAGCCTCCCTATACGTTGCTAAAATCAGATCGTGCTCTTCCTCCGGATCCTCTATATCTCCTAGGGCTTTGAACCTGTTCCTCACCTCAATGTTTATCTCCTCCTAATCTCTTCACTTTGCAGCTTGCATACGTCAAACCTTTCCCTTGCTATCTTTTTCCCCTCAATCCTTGCCAACTTCAAACTTATTCTGGTTCTCACAAGGTAGTGGTCACTGTATACGTCTGCAAACCATGACTGAGCCCCTTTAATGAGATTATGGCGATTGATTGTGGCGATTGATTATGGCGTATATGCTTTCACAGTACAAAGGTTCTGTTTCCTTGAATTATCAAGCGTTGAGCAAGCGTTATTATTTACGAATTTTTTCAAAAGCTGGTGTTCATTCTTAGNCGATTGATTATGGCGTATATGCTTTCACAGTACAAAGGTTCTGTTTCCTTGAATTATCAAGCGTTGAGCAAGCGTTATTATTTACGAATTTTTTCAAAAGCTGGTGTTCATTCTTAGGTAATTCACAATAAATAACCGGGCTTGTCTCTTCACTGCATGGTCCAGGCTTAATGCCGCTCTTCTGCGCATGTGTTGTAATTTTATTACTTGGACCGATGGCCCATTTTCAACTTAAGTTGACTTGGGCGAGGACGTTTCATTCCCAATGATGTTGTAGGAACTGTGTAAGTAATAGCAACGTGTTACTTAGCATTTGAGGAGGGTTCTCATAGCAGATTATGTATCTTTGCGTGAAGATCGTGGAGATATTTGAAGTCCTCGTCGTTCAACACTAAGGGTCAGACAGAACGATGAAGT